CGCGGCAATTAGTTTCTCTGTTTGGAGAACTGTATATTTCAAGGGGAACACATAAGACAATGCTCAATCACAATCCAAGCGGAAAAATGAAAATAAAATAAGTGAAAATTCATGCAGTCTAAGACAAAATCTGCACACCGTATTGTTCCTGCTGCTCTTCACTCCCATTGAGAAACCTCAGTAATATACCTGAATGTCGTTGCTGCCAATGTCCAGGCCCTGAGCACACACAACAGAGAAACATGAGCAGGTTCAGTAAATTCTGGGATCATAAAGATCACTCGTTCCAGTAAAACAGCAGTCCCAGATTAAAAGGGATTGCACAAAACTGATGGCCGCTTTTACACTCTTGTCACTGTTCCATTTCACACATTGTGCTCTGATAAAATACCTGGATTTGTCTTACAATCCATCCGAACACAATGAATACTTCTTCCTTATCTGAGGATAAAGAGAAGGCTGAGGTCCTCAACACCTTTCTTTGCATCTCCCCTTAGGCAGATCATTTATTCTCAGGGAACATCAAGCCCGCATGTGGAAGTCTGGGATGCTACTTGGAATACACACCAGTGATTCAGACAGAGTCAGGGAGAGAGTTCCTTCTCCATCTGGACTGTTATAAGGCCACGGGGCCAGATGTGCTCCATCCTAGGGTGCTGAGGGAACTGGTGGAGTTTATTGCCGAGCTGCTCTCCACCATCTAGCAGCACTCCTGGTTATCTGGAGGTTGGAGGCTTGCCGATGTGACTCCCATCTACAAGAAGGGTTGTAAGGATGATCCGGTGAACTACAGGCCTCTCAGCCTGACCTTGGTACCAGGTAAAGACATGGAGCAAATCATCTTGGGTGAGATCACATGGCACTTGCGTGGCATCCAGAGGATCTGGCCTCGCCAGCACATGAAAGGCAGGTTGTGTTTTACCAGCCTCATCTCCTTCTAGGACTGCATGACAAAACTCAAAGATGAGAGAAAAGATGTTGATGTAGTCTACCTAGACTTCAGCAAATCCTTTGACACGGTCTCTCACAGTATTCTTCTGGGGAAACTGGCTGCCCGTGGCCTGGAAACAGGTTTATCCTTCTTTGGGTAAGGAACTGGTTAGAGGGCTGTGCCCACCGAGTACTAGTTAATGGAGCAAAGACCAGCTGGTGACTCACTACAAGCAGCGTCCCGCAGGGGTCGGTAATGGGGCCCATCTTGTTTAATGTCTTTATCGATGAACTAGATGAGGGGATTAAGCCCTGAGTAAGTTTGCAGATGACATCAAGTTGGGAGGTGGAGTTGATCTGCCTGGGAGTTGGGAGGCCCTTCAGAGGGATCTAGATAAGCTGGATTGCTGGGCTGAGGTGAATGAGATGAGCTAAAACAAGGCCAAGTGACGAGTCCTTCTCTTTGGCCACAATAACCCCATGCAGCACTGCAGGCTTGGGGATGGGTGGCTGGATGATTGTGAAGAGTTGGAGGTGTAGGTTGATGCTCGACTGAATATGAGAGGACAGTGTGCTCAGGTGGCCAAGAGGGCCTGCAGCATCCTGGTCTACACTAAAAATAGTGAGGCCAGCTGGAGCAGGGATGGAATCATCCCCCTGTACTCAGCACTGGGGAGGCCACACCTCGAGTACTGTGTTCAGTTTTGGGTCCCTCACTGCAAGAAAGACCTTGAGGCCATGGAATGTGTCCAGAGACGGGCAACGAAACTGGTGAGTTGACTGGAGCACAAGTCATACAAGGAGCAGCTGAGGGAGCTGGCACTGTTTAGTCTGGAGAAGAGGAGGCTCAGGGGAAGCCTCATTGCACTCTACAACTTCCTGAAGAGAGGTTGTGATGAGGAGGGGTTTGGCCCCTTCTCCCAGGCAAGAAACACGACCCGAGGAAATGGCCACAAGTTGTACAACAGGAGAAAGAACTTCTTGTCCCAAAGAGTGGTCAGGCACTGGAATGCCTGTCCAGAGGCTGCTCCAAAACCAGTTCTACATGCTTATTACGTTCACTCTGAAAGCAGACACTAAAGTACTCATTCTCAGGATTCATTCAATTCTGTAAGCCTGGATGCCATTGCTGCCAATGTCCAGGTCATGAGCAGCCTCCATATGGAAACGTGTAACTGGTTCTCCCCTCTCAGGGATCTTAAAGGTTACCCGTTCATCCAGGAAGACCGGTGAGTGGTCACTGATGGACAACTTCCTAAAAGGAGGTTGTGATGAGGAGGGGTTTGGCCTCTTCTCCCAGGCAACAGACAGGACCGGAGGAAATGGCCGCAAAGTGTACCAGAGGAGGTTTGGGTTAGACATAAGGAAGAACTTATTGTCTCAGAGAGTGGTCAGGCATTGGAATCGCTGTTCAGGGAGGTGGTGGACTCGTCGTCCCTGGGCAGTGTTCATGAGGTGTCTGGATGAGGAGCTACGAGATATGGTTTAGTGCTTTTGGTAGCAAAGGTGACAGGAGGTCTGTTGAACTGGATGATGTTGCAGGTCCTTTCCAGTCTTGTGATTCTAAGATTCTATGATTCTATGGCTGCCCATGTAGGTCTTTCACCAACAGACAACCCCAAATCTTTCTCCAAGGGCTTCCTCTCAAGACAGTTCCTACCCAACCTGTATGTGTTCTCGAAGCAGATGTAGGACCGGCCGCTTGACTTGATTGGACTTCATGAGGTTGGCATGGGACACCTCTCCAGCCCCACCAGGTTCCTCTGGATGGCATCCCTTCCCTCTAGCAGTATGTCAATTGCATCACTCAGCTCTGTGTCATCTGCAGTACTGCTGAGCGTGCACTCAATTCCACTGGCCATGCCACCTCCAAAGATGTTAAACAACACCACACCCAGCTGTGATCCCTCAGGACAGACACACATCAGCGGTCTCCACCTGCACATCGCGGTATTGACTACAACTCTCTGAGCGTGACCATCCAGCCAATTCCTTGAGCACTGGCTGGTCTGTCCATCACATCAATTTCTCTCCAATTTGCTGACCAGACGTCATGCGGAACCTTAGCAAACCTTTCACAAGTCCACATAGATGACATCAGTTGCTTTTCATTTCTCCACTGATGCTGTAAGTTCATCATGAAAGGCCACCAGGTTTGACAGGCATGACTTGCCCTTGCTGAAGCCATGTTGGTTTCCACCAATCACCTCCTCTGTTCTCCAGGTACCTCCAAAGGGTCTTCAGGATGATCTGCTCCACGATCTTGCCAGACACAGAGGTGAGACTGAGTGGCCTTCAAATCCCTGCATCTTCTTTTTTTCCCTTCTTCAACATGAGGGTTATATTTCCCATTTTCCAACCAATGAGAACTTCACCAGACTGCCATCACCCTTCAAATATGTTGGATAGAGGCCTGGCAACTTGGTCTGCCTCAGAACCCGTGAATGGATCTCACTGTGTCCCATGCACTTGCACATCTGCAGCTTCTTTAGATGATTACCAATTTGATCTTCACTGACAGCACGCAGA